TCCAACTTTGTCCAGCTGAAGAAATGCAAGACTCATGTAGAGTCGGCAGTGACTCTTACTTAAATCCAGTATTAGGGTAATTATCCAACCTAGAGGTTCCTGTCCCTCACTGACCACCAGCATGTTAAAAACAGATTCCTGGGCCCCACTTCCATTAGGACTGACTGAATGGTGTGTGGACAAGCTCTGTTGGGCATCTGAAATCTTCAAGCAGATGTCAGAAATAGTAGCCAGCGCTTCCCAACTCTGGCTGCATGTTAGCCTCATTTGCAGAGCTTCCCCCCACCCCCACTCGGAGGCAGGCTCTTGATTCTCTTGGTCTGGGGGTGAGGCCCAGGAATGGGTCATTTAAAAACCATCTAAGTGATTCTTATGTGCAGCCAAAATTAAGAATCATTGTATTTGTCTAATTTTGGAGCCCAAAACAGAAGCCACTAAACAGATAAGACTGTTTTAAATGAATGAAAATGAAATAAAATTAAAAATCAAGTTCTTCAGTTGCACTAGCTATATTTCAAGGGCCCAGTAGCCACATGTGGCAAGTTGATCATATTGGGAATTACAAATACAGAATGTTTCCAGATAACTCCTGCACGTTGCACCATTATGATTCCAAGAGTCTGATCTAAGATTCTGTTGTTAAAAGTATTTTGAAAGAGTCTGATGAATTTTTGCTTCCCATGGTTATTCAATATCTCATTTGCTTCTTATCAGCTCCACAAAATAGGCCAGAATGGGATTCTTGCTCTCAACTGACATATAAGAAGAAACAAGTCTCACAGAAAGAAAGTGAGTAGCTTAAGATCTATACGCAGCAGAATTCTTCACTTCAAGTTCAGTGTTTCCTATAATATTTTCACATAGAAGGCTCCTTAGAGAGCAGGATGTCTGAATCCTTGTTGTACAAAATGAAGACCAGGCCTAGTGCAGTGGCACATGCCTGTAATCCCAGCAACTCTGGAGGATGAGGCAGGAGGATTGCAAATTTGAGGCCATATTGGGCAAGTTAGCATGACCCTTTTTCAAAATAAAAAAAAAGGCCTGGGGGTGTAGCTCAGTGGGAGAGCATCCCTGGGTTCCCAGTACCACACACAAAAAATTAATAATAATTTAAAAAGAGGAGACCCTATAAAACAAACAAAACCAAAATAAATGCAGGAGAAGAAAAGGATTTGTTTAAGACATACATAGACAACATTGGGACTAGCAGGCTTGTCTTTCCATTCTTAATCCAGGACCCCTTATGAGAGAGGAAACGTGGAGAATGGGGAAAGGCAGAGAAAGTGAGGTTTTCAGGCCCCACAGGGACCTCATGCTCCTGGGTGGTGGAAGTGCAAATCTATCCTAGGCTTATTTTTCTCTCCCTCATTCTGAGACCCAGCGGAGCTCTTGGTACCCACAGAAGACTACTACCAGGTGGTGCAGCTGCACACCCATCAGCCAGCGCTGCTTCCCTGCCAGGTGACCAACCTCCTGGCCCAGGTGACTCGGTACTGGGAGTTCCCTCCTGAAGAAGTCCCAGTGGATGGGACAGACATCTCCTTTGATGTGAAGAAGTGATTCACCATCCACTGGCTCTGAGCTTCCTTGGCTGGCTTTCTCTTCTGCTTGGCCAGCCTAGGTGGCATGAAACAAATCTCTATCAAGTACATGCTAATCTACATCAACTGTGCATGAACTTAAGTCCCCGAGTGGTCAGGGAACGGAGGGATATGGAAAGAGAACCCTTGTTGTACCTTGAGAAACCTCAGGTCCAGAGGGTGTGAATTATGGTGCTCTAAACAACCCAATGGCTTTTAACAATGCTCCATGTGATTAACCATGTTGTCCAGAGCACCTTATTGCCCCATATAACAGACAGCCAACCAGCCATCAATCTAGGCTGCATCAGTTCAGCCTGTCCATCATCTATTGTCAATCAAGTCAAAGGATTCAATTCCTCCATCCTCTCTCAAATCAACCATTCCATCCATCCATTCCCCATCAGGCCAACTATTCCTTCATCCATCTACACTCTATTAATTCTTTGTTTAAAAAACATTTTTTTTGTAGTTGTAAATGGACAGAATACCTTTATTTTATTTGTTATGTTGTGCTAAGGACCAAACTCAGTGCTTGCCTCTGAGCCACACAAACCCAGCCCCTCCATTAATTCTTTATATCCACTCATACATCCTTTGCCAATTCAACCACCTCAATCACTCATAAATCTAACCTCTCCATCCATTCATTTAATTCAATTTAACTGTACTACTCATTCATTTCATTCATCCATTTCTCTATCCATTTACCTGCCAACAATTCAGTCATAACAACCTGTCAACATAGTTTTTCCCCCCACCTTTTCTCCCTTCTTATCTGTGGAAGATACATCTTTCTCCCCTCAACCCACCATCCAGGCTTCAACAACATCAATCCAGCTAGGAGAGGACTTCACTGAGACCTGTATTATTCTGGGTGAACCAGAGATTACTGTGGATTTTAACTGGGAATATCCAGGACAGGGGGTAAGCAGAGGGCAGAAGGAGGTTGTGTGCATGTGTATATGCCATGGAAGTGTGTTGGGGCAGAGGGGTGGGAGTGAGGGATTGGAATGAAGGCCAAGAGTGATCATTGCAAAATGGAACCATTGTTGGGAATTGATGAACCTAGCCCCAACTGTGACACTGCTTCCTGAGTGACATGGGGCAAGTCACTTCCTTTATCTGGGCTTTGGTTTCCTCATTTGTCAAATAGAGCTACCTTTTGGTTCACTGCCAAAGAATGTATAATTTCTTTGTTAATTTATGCAATAATTACTAAGCACTCACCACATGCTAAACATTGTGCCAGGGGCTGACACTATAATGATGAGTCAAAGAGTTATGGCTTCTGCTACCTGGAAGCTTATACTCAAAGCAGGGAGAAGAGGGAGACAGACACACCTAGTCATGTAGGTAGTGCCAAGAGCTACAGTGACAATAAAGCAGAGTGATGTGATTGGGTCTACTTAGGATAGAGTGGTCAGGGAGTCATCTTCAAGGGCATGACCAGGCTGGTCCCAACCACACAAAGATGAGGCTGGAGCATGTGTTCAGTCCTGTGGCTGTGTGTGTGATTGGAGGACATCTGTGCCAAATAGTAGTATGCTACCAACACCAAGGACTTGAAGAATTCTTAAAAAGCCTTTCTGGAAGAGCTGGAATTTAACAGGAGTTTGGAAGTATGGGTTTAGGTAGGTGGAAGGCCTTCCTGGCCCATGGCAGTAAAAGCAAAGGTGCGCATGTCCCTCATACAAGACCAGAGACCCACCTCTCTCATCAAGGTGGTCTGAATATGCAGGGGAGCAGCGTGGCCCATTCTAAGGGACCCAAGAATCATTCTCCAGATTCTGAGGACATCGACAAGGCCTGAGCAGTGAGCTGACCTTGTATAGATCAAAATGGGAAGAGTGGAACCGAAAAACCTGTGAGGAACTGTCCCCCCGCCAGAGGTGACTTAAGAATAGAACCGGGGTATAGTTTAGTGGTAGAGCACATGCCTGGCATGCACAAGGCCCTGGATTTGGAACCCAGTGTAAGTGTACACAAAGTACAGGATGGAGAAATCAGGTGTTCTGTAAGCTGTGACTTTTCCATAAGATCACCATCTTTAGCAGTCCTGAAAGGAAGGCCTGTGGAACCCAGTCAGCGTGTTCAGTTCCCCCTTAACGTAAAGTGCTCCAGCAGCACCTTACTCCAATCTTCAGTGGTCTGAACCAGTACATCATGAACTCTCTGAGTTGATCTCTGTGTTCCCTGCAGTGAGAGGCCAAGGATTGGTCCCAGTTAAGATGTCATACAGTGACCTTAGGAGGTAGAAAGGGTGAGGAATTTGTCAGAGGAAGAAACAGACCCACGAAGGGAAAATGAAGAGGTGGTTTTGAGCTACATGGCTTGATAAGTGAGCATTTCCCTAAGCATGTTCCTCAGGGTGATAACATGCCACAAAGTTCTGTCCCACCCTGCCCCACTGCCCAAAAATGTGTTCAAGAAAACACCGCCTCTACGAAGTATCACTGGCACTGGAGATTCAAGATACATGCACAGGGCGGATTCAGTGGTCTGTTTCTAATTTTCCTTTGTTTGACTCAGTGTTTCCCAAACATTTCTGATGATGGAGTCTGCACTTTACCCTCCTTATGGAGGTAGCACCCAACAACGTCCCTATAGAACCAGAGGACCCAGGAACGCCCACCAGGAAATGCTGTGACCCATGTTAACTTTGGAACATTTTTGTTTCTTCCTTTTTTCCCCCTTTCTTTTTGGTACCAGGGATTGAACTCAGAGGTGATTTACCACTTAACTATATATATATCTTCAGCCCTTATTATTTTTTAGTTTGAGTCAAGGTCTTGCTATGTTGTTTAAGGCCTCACTAAGTGGCTGAGACTGGCCTCGAACTTGTCATCTTCTTGCCTCGGCCTCCCGAGTTGCTGGGATTATAGATGTACCTCACTATGCCTGGCTGGAACGCTTCTTGAGCAGGAAAGGGGAACTCAGCTCCTCTCTAGGAACTTGAGAAACTTAAAGGTTTTCTTAGAGAACCTGCCTTTTAGGTGGTCTGATACCTACCATGTGTCATCAAGTGTGGCTTTGAGCAATCACTTTCCCTTTGTCTGAAGAGATACACGGTGCCTCTTACCGGCTTGCTGGTGCCTGAGTCAGAAATGGCACCAGGGGTAGCTAGTGAACATTTCCATTTTGTCCCCTGCAGCTGAGCTGTACCCCTATGTCAGTGAGTGGTCCAATGTGGTACGCCGGGAGGGCCAGGTACAGCGGGCAGCAGCAAACACCTGGAGTGGCAAAGCTAGGACCAGCGGGGGTGGGGGGGGCTCAAGTAAGTAGTTGAAGGAGGATCCCAGAATCATCTGTAGGCTACCCAGGCCCAGGGATTTAGTCTTCAAAGATCCCTGCCACTGGCAGAAGCCCTCAGTGAGAATTTACCTCCTTCCTCTTCCAGAAAAACACAGAGACCAAATAAATAACTTATTGCATGTTTTAGTTTCCATAGCTTGTTGGCCCCAGAGTAAAGGTATGACCAGAGTTGATTTCCATTCACACCTACTACAGGGTACACAAAGGAAGCCCCCGCTCACCACAACGTACCCCTTCCTCAGCCCTGCCCCTCTTGATTCAGAAGATGCTTTCTAAAGTGCATTCTGCAGCCTCAAGTGCTTTCAGGGGGTCGGGGTGACGGTGGAGAGTAGAAGCTTCATCAAAGAAGTTTGGAAGATGCTGGGGACTTGGTCCCCTTCTTGGAGAATTGCAATGCACTAGCATGTTTAAGTTATTGAGAGTCCTGCAGGGTGCAGATTTGTTTAACTTGATTGAACCTAGAGCTTCCCAAGATTCTGTGCAGCGGATTCTTTTTCAGTCATGCCTATCAATGTCCAACAGACTAGTGTAACATGGACACACTATGAAAAAAAGTTGCATGAAAAATTCCATGAGCATGTCATTCCAGAGCTGGCCTCAGGGCCCCTAGAGAACCTGATTTGCCAAGGCTGGGAAAACAGCTCCACACTCCCCGAGCCCACTCTCTTCCCTGCTTAGCAAGGGAAAGGGAGAAACGCAGACACATCTGAATTTCTAGAGTGGAATTGGATGGAGATTGTATCCAAGGGAATGAAAGAGGTGGTCGGGGAAGATGCCACCACAGAATATCTGATGGAAGATGTGGACTGACTTTTCCCACCATCTGGTTCAGGGTCTGTGGCTGGAGCTGGGGGCCTCAGGCAAGATCCTTTGGCTCTTGTGTTCTGTTTGCTCTGCCTGCTAAGGAGGGAGAACACCACGCAAGGGAGGGGTGTGAGGAAGCACTCTGATGAACATGCTCGGTGCAGGGATTATTATTAGTCTCTAGCTGACCTGAAGCTTCCTGAGAAAAGACTAGAATCTACATGCTGTCATCCTGCTGAGGTCAGTCACTCCAGCCACCCCTTTACTGATGGAGGAGCGGAGGACCACATGGAAGCCTGGGGCCTTGGATCAGGGGTGGCAGAAGGAGGAGTGCAGGAAAGCCTGGAAGGGCAGGCGAAGGTAGAGGAAGGAGGAGAAAGGCTGTCATGGATCTGATCTTCCCAGACAGACAGGCGAGGTCCCAGTCCTGACTGTGGGGTCTGCTCCCCTTCTGGTTTCCTCATCTGTAGAGGGATGAGGTTGAATCTCTGCCTGTTGAGGGTCCTCAGACCCAGTAAAATGGCACTGAGACTGAAGGACCAGGAGGGTTGGGGATGAGCCATGTCTGCCAAAGACGGAGGAGTTCTGGCCATTGGTCCTGGGCCGACCAGAGTCTGATACCAGGAGTGAGGCTGGCCAGGGTGGCAACCTGGTCCTGCTAGCCCTCAGGGCCTTCCGAGACTCCCTTCCAGTCATTGGCTTTTTCACTGATCCACAGGATGTGTCTAACTCCCAGCCCTTAGTCAGACCTTCAGACAATCCTAGAATTGGACATTAAGTGACTTCAGTCATTTGATAGTGACTGCAATCATCTTGGGGCAGGGTAAACTGAGGCTAAGAGAAGGCCTGGGCAGAAGTAGAACACCTGGTGAAGTTGGCAAGTCAGTGAGTTGGCAGCAAAGCTGATGAGCTGGGGCCAGAGGTTGTCTCCTCTGTCAGATGGCCAAAGTGGCACAGGCTGCCCCTGGGAAAAGCCTCAGAACTTTCCTGACATAGACAGACAGAAGGCAGAGGGAGGAAAGGCTTCTTCTTGCTCGTTCCCTGGGCCAACTCAAGGAGAGGCACTACTCAGGGCCTCCAATGCCCCATGGGTGATCTTTGTGACCCAAGCCCCCCCAGGGCACACTGGGCATAGACCCAGGCTCTCCAACTCACTCCTACCCTTCTTCCTTCCTGGATAAAGAACTGGTAGGCTCTTGTTGTCTTTTCCAGAAAGTCTTTGGCAGGAGCTATGACCATAGGCATCATGGTGGGCCCAGACCCTGCCCCTTATGTGGCAAGGAAAGAGACCTCTGTGGGGGTAACAGAGGCCAGGGCGAAGGTAGAAGAGGCGTCAGCCCCAAAGACCCGGTACAGCAGCTCCTCCTTCTCCTGCTGCAGCTGTCGCCGAACCTGCGACTCCTTCTCCAGAGCTTCACGGGTCAGAAGCAGGTCTTCTGAGAGCTGCCTGTGGGTGCAGACAGAACCCAGGGTTGCTACCAGGAGCAGCTGCTGCAGGGACCAACCTATCCCTCTGGGAGGCCTTCCTGAGCTAGGCCACCAGCCCACTCCAGGGCCACACCCCCCAGCCCCTGTCATTTGCAAGAGGCAATTCAATCTGTTGACCAAGTGCATAGTCCTCACGGGCAGAGAGTTCTGGTTGCTCTGAATCTCTGCTTCAGAACCTAGCCGTGTGATCTTGGATGAGTTCTTCACTCTCACTGAATTTCAGTTTCCTCATTCAATACATGGGAATAATAATAATAATAATAGGACTCAGGTCTTCGAATCATTATGAGGATCCCATGACAGAAGATAGAAGGTATTCAACAAGGTATGTCTGACACATGATATGAGCTTTCGTTTACAAAGTCCTTAGAATTGATTCATTCCACGTGGGCCTGTTCAACTCTGGATTTCCCGTTTCCCATATTGGGTTCTCCCATAGAGTCTACTCATCCAAGACAGGGACATGCAGATAGTGACCAGGGCACTGGGACTTAGGTTTCTAAGCAGAGCTGGTCCATTGGGTTTCCTGACTCACATGGAAAAGGGGAGCCGCATTCCCTAGACAGGTCCCGCACCCACCTGTCAATACATTCCCTAGGCTCTTCTGAGACCCTTCCAACTGGAGATTTTGGCAAAAGGGGTGGGTGGAGGAGAAGAGGCAGGGGGATAGTTACCTTGACACCACCACCTGATTCCGGGCTCGAACTTGGAGGTCCTCATATTCCTGTTGCAGGGTTGTGATTTTTTCCTCCAGCTTCAGATTTTTTTCTTTCTGTAACAAACCAGAACAGGCTCAGAAAGCTACCAAAAATCACATGGTCCAGTGTATACTATGACCTCCTTCTTATCGGTGGTCCCTGAAAACACTCATTCATTCTAGACAAGATGCTACATTTCATGGAGCAATAAATTCACCAAAAATAAAGCTAAAGAGTTAACAAATGGCTAACAACTTATAATTTTTCTACAGGAAAATGTTAAAAACAAAGTACAGTCACTCCCATCTCACTTCTCCATCAGTTCATAGAAGAAAGGGTATTTTTTTTTGTTCTCGTAAAGTCAGAAGGACGTGATCTATATAAACAAAATTAAGTCTGTATGTTTTATCGTAAGAATGGTTCAACAGAATTTATAGGGAACATGTGAGATGGTCTGAGGATGTATAGACATGGGGAGGCCAGGGAGACTTCCTCTGGAACAGCACTGTCTGTTTGGATTCAGCCCCAAGTTTCTTTTCCTTTTCCTTCCTTCCCCTCTACTGCCTCCCTTTCTTTCTTCCTGTGCAGGGGATTGAACCCAGTGCATGCTGGGCAAATGCTCTACCACTGAGCTGCATTCCTAACCCCTCAGCCCCAGGTTTCTGAGGCCTCTGTTCTTCCAGAAACAGAACCACCTGTGTCCTCAATGCCCTCCGCTCTCCAGCCTTGTCCTTGTGGATCCTGGCCTCCCACATCTGCCTGACCTTTCAGCCTCTCCTCTTCCCTCAATCCCTCCCTGCCGATGACATGTGCTAGCTCCTCCTGATTAGCAGGCTGCCTGTCCCAAAGCATCGCCCAAGTTACAGCAACCTAAGTAACCAAGAAAAATGCAGATGGCATAGAGGACCCAGATGGCAAAGAGCCCCTGCCTGGACTGGCCATAGACCAGCTGAAGATGTGAGCTGTGGGTGGCAGGTCAAGGCCGGTGTGAACCAGGCTGGGCTTCCCCTGCTTGTTTTACAAAGGAAGTGCCCAGCAAACAGCAGCCTGAGGCTGCATCTCCTAGCCACAGACCACTGTTTCCATGAGGATCAGCCTCTTGTCTAGCTCATGAATCCGATCATTCTTCATCTCGATGACAAAGTGCAAGCTCTCCAGCTCCTGCTCCCAGAACTGGCTGGGACTCCCATAATCCTAGATAGGGACATAGAATGACCTCATCAGACCATCAGGTAGAGAAGGGCATGGACTACCTCCCTCCTTCCCATCCTGCCACCGGCTCACTGATTGACTTTCGTAAGTCCCATCCCTCTCTTGGCCTGTGGTTATGGGTCAATATGTTTCATCTCATTTGACTCTAAGAGCACCCTTTGAGGCTTGTGTAGTTCAAGTAGGTTGAGTTGCCTGTGCTAAGTGGTGGGTTTCCTACGTCTACCTGGTTCTGTCTGGATCCATAAGCTGTGTCCTTTACTGAGCCATATGCCTTTCTCTGAGCTTCTCAGTGAAAGGGGGGACCCTCTTGCTTCCAGGCCCTTGTGAAAGTGAGAATGTCAGGTCTGAGCCTTGCCCTTGAAGATGGGCTCACCTGTCCTGTTGTCCAATCCTAATCTCCCTGGAGAATCAAGAAGGAAAGGCCCCCAGGTGTATTACACCTACCTGAATGTGTTTCTTATAGTTTCGCCTCAGAATGGACTCTTCTACCCTCTTCATCTTGGCCTGAAAGACCTCCAGTTGTGAGGTCAGTCCTGCTACGGTCTCCTGGAGAAAGGAGCAGGAAGGAGGTGATCAAAGTTGGGCTCCTGAACGTGGATGTCACCAGACCCCAGAGAAAGAAAAGTTTGGGGTTCTTTGGCCTAACCTATACAATGATGCAGGTGTAACCTTCTTCAACCACTGCCTGAAACATCCCACCCCCAACTCTTGCTATATAGCCTTTTGTGGCTCCACAAACCCTTGGGACAAAGATCAGTGAGCCTGGCATTCAAAGCCCATCCAAACCAGGCTCAATTAGTTTTTCCAGCCTTATCGATCTCTGCTTTTCCTGTGGCCACACATCATATCATTCCTTCAACCGCAAGGGACATTCTTGTTTCCAGTTTTTCCCTTGCCAAGAATTTCTTCCCCCCAGACTTTGACCATTGCCTTCAGCATAGAATAGCCTCCTAATATGGCTTACAGGCTCCTACCTCCTGGCCTTCTCCTTCCTCTTCAGCCTCAGCCTTTCTCCCAAACTCTACACCCCAGGCATCCTGCACTTACTACAATTCCTCAGGTGTTCCACACTCTCTCCCTTTTCCTCTGTGCTTTTTGAAAAAATTGCTTTATTCTACGTAAGGCACACTCACTTCTTATCTTTCTTTACTGAAGAATTCTAACCTATCTTTCAAGTTCCAGCAAAGATCTCATTTTCTCTAAGAAATCTTCCCTAAGCAGTCAGTGAGAGTCTTCTTCGAAGATTTCACAGGTCCCTGGGCATTTACCAGGGCTCTACTCAAACCATAGTCCATTCAGTTGCCAAGATCCTCCCAACAGTCCTTGGAAAAACAGGACAACCCTAATCACATCTTTAGCTAAGAATCTAGTCACCACATTAAGGGGCCTGGACACATGGAAGATAGTCACTTTGGCTCCCTCATACCTGGAAGCCTTTGGTTTGGGTCCTTCCCTAACCCCACTATACACTAACATGGCCCAGCCCTTCTCACCTGAAGGGCAGCTTTGGCCTCCTGGAAGGAGTGGGTAAGGGCTTCTTTTTCCTTTTCAAATGAGGCCTGGATGACTGTGGGGAAAGAAGATCTCTATAAGCTCAGATACTTCTCCTCAAAGCCTTCTGGCAAGTCCCTAGGGTCAGGAAGATGCAAATGATCTCCTGGGTCACATTTGGGCCAGAAATGGGGAATGACCTGATCCATCCTTCTACTTTCTAGGTTTACTTGAGAGCTGTGCCAGAAATATAATAGGTATTTAATAAAAGTTCATGGAAATGGAAACAAATTATATCCTAGTTCATGACTTGAACTCTACCAGACTGTGCATACCAACCATACCTCACTGAGGCTATGATCCAAAGATCTCATAGCAAGTTTGTCTACCTTGTACTATGTCATGTTAAATTCAGAGCGCCAATGCTTTGTAAACTGAGTTAGCCAAATCACAAAGTCATTAAATGATTGCCTGTCAATCAAAGTAAAAGCTATGGCCCATACACTGGATTTGTGGCCTGGAAGTCTACCTGGTCCTTACTCTGCTTCTTCAAAACTGAGACCTTGAGAAAATCACATCAAACATCTAAGAGTCCTTTGCCTCAACTGTGAAATGGGTCAACAAGCCTGCCTTGGTTGTCTCTAGGGGTGGACTCAAGGATCACATAGAAAAGGACAGGTAAGAGCTTTCCAGGTGGGGCAAGGTTGTACAGATCTAGATTTGTTATCACTTTCAAAATCAGTACAGTTATATTTATCATCCATCTTCCCTATAAAGTTCATTTTGAAAAATTCCAACCTGTCTCAGCTGAAAGAAGACAACAGAGAAATGGTAAACGGCCAGGAAAAAAAAAACAGAACAGAGAAGACAGGAATGGGAAGTTTAATACTTTGTTCTTTGATTGACAAGCAATAATTTAATGACTTTGTGATCTGGCTAACCTAGCTTACAAAACATTGGTCCTATGCATTTTTCATGGCCTGATATGGTACCAGGAGACAAGCTTGCTGCAAGAACTTTGGATCTTGGCCTCAGTGTAGTTGGCATGCACAGTTGAATAGGGTTCACAAATATAAACCAAGGGGCCAAAGAAGATGGTAGCGACATCAAAAAGAATGTTCGATCAGTAATATGAATGTGATAGAGCTGTCAAAAATTGGTAAGACCAGTTGTATAAGAACTAATTCCTTAATTTTTTAAATTGATGGACCTAATTTGTTAAGTTGCCTATTAAGACAGGATAAAGTAAGATAAAAGAAACACATTCCATCCAGTCTGTCCAACTATGTAGCCATAAAATCTGGACAGAATGAATGGAGCACTTATTTGCAGACTCTGAAAAATAAATGGTTGCTGGGTATGGTGGGCACACAACTGAGTCACTGTCCCAGCAGCTTGGGAGGCTGGGGCAGGAGGATTGCAAATTTCAGGCCAGCCTTGGCAACTTAGTAGAACCCTGTCTAAAAATAAAAAAAATAAAAAATAAAATGGCTGGGGATGTAGCCCAGTGGTATAGCACCCCTGGGTCCAATCTCTAGTACTGCAAAAAGGAAAAAAAAAAAGCAAATGGCTATAGCCGACTAGGCCAAAGATCAGAATTTGAAGTACCAATGAACTGGCATATTTAAACAAAATCCAGAATCTCTTGTATTCAAATACTGAAAATGTCCAGAATACAATCCAAAATTGTTTAGCATACTAAAAAACAGAAAAATACCAACTTGTCTACAAGACATTCCACAGATGCTTATATTGAGATGATATAAATGTTAGAATTATTAACGGAGTCTTTAAGACAGCCCTTATGGGCTGGGGATGTGGCTCAAGCGGTAGCACGCTCGCCTGGCATGCGTGCGGCCCGGGTTCATTCCTCAGCATCACATACAAAGATGTTATGTCCGCCGATAACTAAAAAAAAATAATAAATATTAAAATTCTTTTCCTCTCTCTCTCTCTCCCTCTCTCCTCTCTCTTTAAAAAAAAAAAAAAAAAAGACAGCCCTTATAATAATGCTCCAAGAAGCAAGCGTGAATACACTCTTGAAAAGAATGGAAAACAAGAAATTCTTAGGAAAAAAATAGAAGATGAAGAATAAAACAAAAGAAAATTCTAGGAGTAAAAAATGTGATAAATGAAAGAACTCATTCTCAAAGAGGAGAATCAATAACTGAATGAAGATGATATAAAAAAGAGCCAGTGTACTTCAAGAAAGATCAATAGAAATGATCCCTTCTGATCAACACAGAGGAAAAAAAAAATATTGGAAAAAATGAACAGAGACTCAGGAACCTGTAAGATAATCCTAAAATGTCTAACATTTTATATCACCTGAGTCGAAGAAGAAGAGTGTGATATGGAAAGATTATTGAAGAAAGAAGCAATCTGGCAAAATATAGACCTTTCCAGATGAAAGCAGCTCACTGAACCCCAGAGTAAACCAAGCGAAACCCACACACAGATACAGAAATCCATACACACTTCTGAAAACCAGTGACAAAGAGTAAATCTGGAACGGAACCACAAAAAATGGTCCATTACTTATAGGGAACATCAGTTTGAATGAATGTGGATTTCTTATCAGAAACCTTGGAAAGTAGGGGCTGGGTTGTAGCTCAGTGGTAGAGCCCTTGCCTAGAGCCTAGCATGGCCCTGGGTGGAGCACTGAAACAAAACAACCCCCCCCCCCCAAACAAAAACAAAGAAACTAAAAACAAAAGCAAAAAACAAACAACAACAACAAAGACCTTGGAATCTATAAGGAAAAAGAAAGATTTTAGAACTGCTGAAATAAAAGAACATGAAAAAATTTCACTGAATTCTATATTCAGTGAAAATATACTCCAGGAAAGGAAGTGAAATAAAGACATCCTCAGATGGAAAAACCAAAACAAAAGCTATTCATCACCAATAGACCTGCTTTAAAAGAATGACTAAAGGAAATTCTTCAAATGATATCAGAGGGAAACTTGGAACTTCAGGAATATAGGCAGAAAAACAGAACTGGTAAATACCTGGGTCAATACAATAGACTCTCTTCTTTTGAGCCTTTAAAAATATGATTGATGATTTAAAAGCAAAAAACGATAAGCTTTTGTGATGGAGTATTCCAGGTGTTGTAGATGTAAAGCGAAAGACAGGAACAGTGGGCCCACCTTATAAGGGTCTCACGTCTCATGGTTTCAGTTACTTGTAGTCAGCCACAGTTCAAAAATACTAAATGGAAAATTCCAGAAACAAACAACTCAGACATTTTAAGTAACTCTTATTACAGTACATTTTTATAATTGTTTTATTTTATTTATAGGTATTGTTGCTAATCTCACTGTGCCTAACTTATAAATTAAATGTTATCACAAATATATACATAAGGAAAAAACCAGTACATACAGGGTTGATGCTTCCTATAGTTTCAGGCATCACTGGAGGTCATGAAATAGCTCTCCCATGGATAAGGGGGTATTACAACAAAAAGGGAGAGGACAGAGGAAACTTCATGATGGTAAGTTTTCTACATACTATTTAAAGTTGTAAAATATGAATTTGAAGTAGACAAGTAAATGTATTGTAATCATTAGAACAATCACTTAAAAAACACACAAAGAGACAGAGTAAGAAAAGCAATAGATAAATTAAAATGGAATACTGTACTAAAAGTTGCTGAAATACTCCAAAATGAAGCAGGAGAGGAAACAGGTTAAAAGCAAAGAAAACAAACAGAAAACAAGTATTAAAATGAAAGATCTAATTATAAGCATTAAATGTTTAAATACACCAAATAAAAAGAGTATATCAGAATGGATTAAAAACAAAAAAAGTGATATGCTTATCTTAGTAAGCTTTCCATCACTGTGACAAAATACCTGAGATATTAAACCTAAAAGAAAGAAAGGTTTACTTTGACTCATGGTTCCAGAGGTTTCAGTTCATGGTAGCTTTGCCCCAATGCCTTGTGCCTGTGGTGGCACAGCATGTCATGGTAGGAGCATGTGGTAGAGGAGAATTTGGTTGGAAAGCATGGTACCAAGATGTAAATTTGTATTTGCAAATACATGAAAAAGGGCCAGGATCCCAATATCCCCTTCCAGGGCACACCCCAATGACCTCACTTCCTTCTGGTAGGTCTAAAGTTTCTACCACCTCCCAGTAGCTCGGTGGGCTGGGAACCAACCCTTCATCACATGGGCCTTAGGAGGACACTGAAGAGCCAAACCAAGCAGAATTAAAATAAACCCACTGGAAATATGTGAAATACGTGTCATAGGCAGGTTAAAAGAGTGGAAAAAGAAGCATTTACTAATAAAGATGTAGCAACTGTATTAATTTTAAACAAAGAACTGAAAGGTGTAATAGACAAATACACCATTATAGTTAGAGACTTCAGCATTTCTCAGTATCCAGTAGAAAACAGACAGAAAATCAGCAAGAATATATAACTGGATGCTACCATCAACTGAACTTAATCTATTTGATTGATTTATAAAATATTCACCCTAAACATAGAAGAATATAATTTCTTTTTAAGTACACATGACAGCTGCATAAGATAAACTATATCCTGAATCATAAAATAAACCTTAACAAATTACAAAAGTGCTGGGAGCCATTAGCCAAGTATGTATGACAATTTCCTTGCCAGCGTACCCCATGTTGCTGACATGTTGCAGCGACATTGAATGTAGGTGACCTTGCTCAAGGACCAAGGCAGATTAGGGTGTTCCTGGTTTTAAGATAATCGTGTTTAGGGCGTTCCCAGTTTAGGTTCCAGGTTTAAGGTTTAAGATTATTCCTGCTGGGAATAGGGCGTATCCTGCTGCCTGAGTTCCCCTTGAGTTCTCACGGGATTCAGACAGTATATTTTGGGAGACAGAAGCCCAGTGGATGTGGATTTGGGCAGAGAACGTGGATTTGGGCAGAGAACGTGGATTTCCCCAGAACGTGATTGTAGACGGCTGGTGTGAGTTTGGGAATAAAGAGTTGCTGTTTGAATCTACAAGCTGTGTGGTGGCTCGTGATTGTGTGCCCAGCCAGACTGCGGCATTTGTGCCCAGCCAGACTGTGGCATTTGGTGGCCCGTAC